CTGGGGTGAAGAAGAGAAAGTGAGAGGCAGAAAGATAAGGAAGATAGCACTCTCCTACTTTCTTTCATTATTACTCTATGTAACTTGTATCATCCTCAAAATCAGAATCACATTTATTGGCCAAGTATGAATAAACACACAAAGAAATTTGTGTGCTTGTAAGTCAAGAAGAAAAACTGGAAAAGATGTGCTTTTAAATAGGTAAGAGAATACAAGAAAAAAAGAAAATGGATTTATGAATATATATATATATTTGCATATTGTGGCAGAAGAACCTTCAGATTGTTATGTACAATAGTTATATTTATCATTTATTGTACTGGGGGTTGGTGTCCTGTTATACAGTCATGGATTAACTGTTCCTTAGCGTGATGGCCCAGGGGAAGAAACTGTCTGGTTGTTTTGGCACACAGTGACCTGTAGTGCTGTCCAGAAGGGAGGAGTTCAAAAAGTTTATGTCCAGGATATGAGGGGTCTACAGAAATCTTCTCTACCCTTCATTTGACCCATGAGGTGTACAGGTCCTCCATGGAGGGCAGGCTGGCACCAACGATCTTTTCTGCAGTCCTGACTGTCCTCTGGAGTCTGTTCCTGTCCTGTTTGGTTGCTGAGTCAAATGGAGGAGCAGAGAACAAACTTGATTATTCCTCTGTAGAACTGTATCAGCAGCTCCTGGGACAGGTTGAAGTCCACTGTCATCTCTGCCATATTAAGCTCCAGGTTGTTGTGACCACACCACAGGACCAGGTGTTCAACCTACTATCTGTCACAGACTTGCCACTATTTCACATCAGACCAGTGACTGTTGTGTCCTCTGAGGTGCAGTCATTGGTATAAAGGGAATAGAGCAGGGGGGAGAGCACACATCCCTGGGAGGCACCTGTGCTGCTAGTCTGAGCGCTGGATGTGGTTTTCCCCAGCCTCATCTGCTGCTCCCTGTCTGTCAGAAAGCTGGTGATCCATTGACAGGTGGGGACAGGCCCATTGAGCTGGGTCAGTCTGGGGATGATGTCTGGGATGATGGCTTTGAATGCTGACCTGAAGTGCACACGGAGGACCTGTGCACAGGTCCCTGGGGAATCAAGGTATTGCAGGATGACTGCATCAGACCTGTTTTCCCGGTAGGCAAACTGCAGGGAGTCTAGCAGGGGGTCTATGATGTCCTTCAGGTGGGCCAACACCAGGCTCTCAAAGGACTTCATAACTACAGATGTCAGGGGGACAGGTCTGTAGTCATTCAGTCTGCTCATGGAGGGTTTCTTGAGAACTGAGATAGTGGTGGAGCATTTGAAGCAAAAGGGGACTTCACACAGCTCCAGTGACCTGTTGAAGACCCACATTAATACTGATCAAACTGTTCACCTGTCTGAAACTCAGAGCATTAAGTTTTTGAATGATTCTACATGCAGAAATATTAATCTATTGCTAACATAATTTTGGGTCTGCAGCTTTTTAAACCACAAGTCACTGAAAGTGCAGGACAAGATTAGAAAAATAAATGAAGTGTGAGACATCAGGAGATGATGAGCTCTAGACGTTCTTAAAGGAACCACTGGGATCTGAATCAGATTCTGACTAGTCATGAGTTCCTCATTCCTGGACTGGAGGAAGGACGAATAAGAACACACACACACGCATACTGTGCACACATGTTGGTTTTTTAAGGAGACTAGCTGCCATAGTGCACTCCCTAGCTCCTTACCCTAACAACTATCACAACTAAATGGATAAACCCCACCCTGATCTAATCCTACCCAAAAATGTAATTCCAACCTTAATCCTAAAACCAAATCCTAACCCTCAGTCAGCCCACTGAAGGTGTGTCAGAACATGAGGACAGGCCAAGATGTCCTCATAATGCTGAGATGTGTGTGTGTGTGTATAGCTACATAAGACACGTGTTGATTCAGTGTGAGGATGATATGATGCACACATGACTTCAGTGACCTGAGGAAATACCCCATAAAGAGAGATGTAGCAGCCTTTCACCTAAACCAAGGCAAAGCAATACGTCAATGTTCAAAAACTATATACATATACATTATATACCGCATATATGACTGTAAGACTGGATCAGACAGGATAGATCAAAAGAAATTATAATTATTTTCTTTTTCTCTCAGATAATGTGACAAATCTGAATTTATTTGTTTATACATTAAGCCTACAGATCAAAACTATAGCTATGTTTGAATCTTGAAGTTTCATTGCAATTTGGTCTTGCAATAAAGTTGTTCAATACACAGCAAGTGTTGCTGAAGTTTTGACCTTTTCACTTTATTTTTCTTCATCTTTACCCTGAACCTTGATGTTTGACGGCAGCTTCAACTTCAGTTTCCTGGGATGAACTTTTAATCATACAGTGACATCTACTGTTGGTTTAAAAGATGTGCAGGCTGCAAATAGTAATGCATTGATTTATTTGATTTATTTATTCTTTCAAGCATGTAAAGACGGTTGATATATCAACACACATAATTTTACACATATCCAATAAATGCTAATCCAACATCAATGTGCTTATACCTAGTACATGCTTGAATGGAGTAGGAAGAAGTCAGACTTATCCAGTCCTACCCCATGACATCATCTTACCATCATTGGTTTGCAAGCAGTATCTCTACATAAATAATTCTCTTCTACACCACACAAGTAATATACTAAAGAATTATTACAAAGTGTTAACATTCATACACCACACCCACAATGTTCCATCTAATTAATCATTGAGCCTGTTCTTGCATATATCTTGATTGACACATACCTTTATATTTATGTTTAAACTCATCAATTCTATTACTATTTTTTTATGTCTACACTTAAATTATTCCATAGTTTTACCCCACTTATGGAAATACAGAATCTTTTTTTGGTTGTACGTATAGCATGAATTTTTAAATTTAACTGACCCCTTAAATTGTATCCCCCTTCCCTTTCATTAAATAGTTTTTGAATTCCACCAGGTAATAAATTGTTCCTGGCTTTATACATAAACACTGCAGTCTTATATCCCACTAACATTTTAACAATTTAGACTGTATGAAAGCTACATTGGTCCAAATCCTATACCCCATAGTTCTTATCGCTCTTTTTTTGTAATATATACAATGGTTGAAGTGAGCTTCTGTATGTATTTCCCAAGTTTTTAGATCGGTTCGACCTAAAACCATACTGACAATCAGAGAGGATTTTATGTCTATCAATAAATGTATCTAATCTGTTATTAAAGAGTTTTTCCAGAATTTTTGAAAATTGAGACAACAGAGAAACCGGTCTATAATTTGTGAAGTTGTGCTTATCACCAGCTTTGTACAGTGGAATGACCTTTGCTATTTTCATATTATTGGGGAACTGCCCAAGTTGAAACGACACGTTAAAAATATGGGTTAATGGTTTGCATATCCCCTCAATTACCCATTTAACAGTTGTCATAGTGATACCATCACTATCACTAGATGTTTTGTTACCACATTTATTCACCATCTCTATAATTTCCTTTTCAACTATGGGCTTCAGAAACATAGAACTCATGTTCCTTTCGATTGTATTATTATTTATAGTGACGGATATCAATATACCTGCGTGTTTCTTCATACAACTGAGGGTCCAGCGACCCCTTCATACTCTTCTTGTCTCGGCATACTGGTCCTCGGCGTGCTGGTCATAGGTCCTGGATTCTGGTTCCGAGGTCGGGTCACTAGTAAGTCATACCACAGGAACGCGATGTCTCCCCTCGCCCTGGCCTCCCTTAACCTCAGCATCAACTCCCTTCTTCTGCAGCAGAGGTAGACACTCAACACAGTGGAGAGGAAGAATGACCACGTGCATCTTACCCATTTTTCCAAACACTCTGTGTTTTTGTACATAAATATATGTTTATTGTTTAGTTTTTTTTATATTATTGGACCAGTGTCAGTAGTAGGTTCAAGTTCAGTGAATGAGACAAATATTTTCTTCTTGCTGTATTGTGTACTTTACTTATTTATTAACTTTATTTCAAGTTATTATTTCAAGTTTAAAGTAGTATTCACTGAACTTGAACCTACTACTGACACTGGTCCAATAATATAAAAAAAACTGGGGGTGGCTGTGGCTTACGAGGTAGGGCAGTCGTCTTCCAACCAGCAAGTTGGTGGTTCGACTCCCGGTCTCCCCGCATGCCTAAGTGTCCCTGAGCAAGACACTGAACCCCAAATTGCTCCCAGTGGTTCGACTGGCGCCAGTGTGCGGCAGCCTCTCGTCATCGGTGTGTGTGAATGGGTGAATGGTGTATGATCTCCTGTAAAGCGCTTTGGCCAGTGCAACACACTGTGAGAAAGCGCTATATAAATACAGTCCATTTACCATTCTTCTCTTCCTCACAGACTCGGTGTAATCTTCATTTATAAAAATATTAGATCCTTTAAGCTTCTTTGCTTGTTGCAGTATGTGTGCCTTATCTTTCTCTTTCATCAACTTTACCATCACCGCCCTCGGTCCCCGATCAGAAGGTTTCCCAACTCTGTGAGCCCGCTCCATCTCAATTTCTCAATTTCTTGCATTTTTCAGCAGTTCATCATATAAACTATAGCAAGAAAGTGTGCATTTATTATCAGGACCAAAAAAAATCTTCTTTGATTAAGGGTTGAGAAACAATTGAGAAACATTATTAATGGGTACAAAAGAAAGACAATATCTATGATAAATTATTATGTTACAAATTGTCATATGAGGTATTACAGACTGTAGCAGGACGAAGAGAGGAAAGGACTGTGTGGAGGGATGAATTGTTTGTTTCTTTAATCTCTTTCTTATTTGTCTTTTTCCTTTACTTTTTCATATAATCTCTGTTTCATTCTGAATTAATATGCACTTGTCCTATTCTGTGTGGTGTGAAAAATTATAAAAATAAAAAAAGTAAAATATAATAATTTTAAATATATTATTTATTAAGTGATATTTTAAAAAGTACCTTGCACTCCTGTGAAAACACTAGTTGACTGCACAGGAGTATGTGGGTGGGATGGTATTTTTGTCTTTGGTGCACAAAATGTTCTTTTTCACTTCACTTTTCCAGAACACACTGCCTGTAACGTCTGGCTGAAAAATAGATGTCTCCCCCTCCTGCCATATCTGTCACTGACCCTGCTCCATCTGGATTTGCTTAAGGGAATGTTTAAGATGGTCTGCAGTGCAAGGCACTTATTTAGAAAGCAAATGTTTTATTTGGTATTGTTCAACAGTTTTCCACTCCAGTACCATATGCAAAGCAAGTAACATGTTAAACAACTATGTTCATCCAAAGAAAACAGAGCATACATTTTACAGGCCAATATTAATTAAGGCACATTTAAAACCAGAAGGTTCTTGTAAAAGCAACATCTGTCACTAATACTTTCACATTGTTTTAACAATTCAAGTAAAAAGGCTTTGACCTGTGGATTGAGACAGACGTGCACTATTTAGTGGTCTTGTGTGATCTGAGACACTGACAATGTAGACATTCTTTCAGCTCCCTGTAAAACTCACACCATAAGTCAATAAATACAGATATCTGCACAAAGCATACAATACACATGTATCATCTTGTTCTCGTTCAACAAGTTGGAATATGTAACCACAATAAGTTCACTGCCAATAAAAGTACAGTTTGCATTTTAGCGTTTTATATAGAAGTGTCTAACTTAAACAGGTTTATTGTCTACATTGGACATGTTGTGTTGCAAGGATCACCTGATCTGAACAGACTAGAGTTACTGGCCAACGGGAACATGGATATAGCACCAACCATGGAACCCAGCTGCACTACTGCTCCACACCACACCAGGGCACTGTAGCCCTCGTCCCTCAGAATCAACCCAATGATGACCTTGACGTAGGACAGAGACAGTACAAACAGGATCCAGACCAGCACCTGTAGAAGAGATAAAGTTGAATATTATACATCTGAATAAATAGTTTGTGCTTTAAACATCTTCTATTGTAACTAGATTTTTAACTGTATTTCACAAAACAACAGCCATCAACAACAGAGAAGGAAAAAATATATAGACTTATAAGGGAACAAACTCAAATGTTAGGCCAAAAGACCAAAGGATGAGACATATTATATATTTCCTACTTTTTTAAAAGCTGATTTTTGTGCTAAAAATCTTTATTTTGAAAGGATGTGTAAGCCCACTGACACTATAGCAGTTACATAGAAATATGGTGTTTATTCAGTTCTTATTGGTGACAAAGCCCAGTGCTAGCAGATACAGGGTGACAACGCAATGTAATCCTGCTTAAGGTGAATCATTATCTCTAGGACAGTAAAAGACTCCTTCAGGGGAACTAGAGGAGTGTTCATAAATATTGTACAGACATGGTCTGAAAGTATGGTCTCCATCAAATCAGACAGGACTGAGTTTGTGACTTAATTCTTAAGGCTGACAATCACATTACACTCCCAAATCATGAGAAATCTGGACATAGGCACAATAAATGGGGTGCACTTTCATTCCTTTGTAAGGTCTAGCATCGGTTTACAACACAGAACATGTGATCCAAATTATGTAGTACAATCTAAAGAAAACAGCTTTATGTCCCAGTTCACTAGAAGAAAGTCTTACTATGACTACAGTTCCATATGCACTATGGACCAAAAGGGGGCAGGGACTCAGAGCAGCCATGGCCATTATGTAGGCTCCAAATCCAGTCCCAAACATTGTCAAGCAACCCATGAGGCTGGGTGACCTGGAAAAAAAGGTTGAGAAATGTCTCTTACACTTCATAAAAGACACAAATATGACAGTTTAAATTCACTCAGTACTCACTCTCTTTTACTATAGTTTTTTTTTTATATATTATAGGAAGAGTCTAAAAACCGTTTTATGTAGCCTATAATGGGCCTTTGAGTAAAGATGTGACTCCATGATCATTCTTACCTAAAAGGCATAAACATGGCAATGAAGCAAGCGACTGGGGCTGCCATAGTGGCAGCTAGATGGTAGGCCTGGTTCCCATAAGGCAGACAGGAGTAGGACTGCACCGAGGGCAGCACTGCATTGGTCAGAGCATTAACCCAAGCCAGCACAACAAAGATGAACACCACCTCAAGATTGCTGTATGTTCCCCTCCCAAAAGCGCTCCTGGGTTCTCTGCCACTTGACTCCTGAGGACTGATCATTGGCTTCTGCTCTGGTGTCTGCTCATGCAAAGACAGGCCTTGCTCTCTCTTCTCAGGGACCAGATCACCACTGAAGTACAAGTCATTCTTCCTCTCTCGAGCCACAGCTGGGTGATGGTTAAGTAGGATGAAAGCTACCAGGCACACGGCCATCATAGCACTGAGAAACACAAAGAAGACTTGGGCAGAGAATTTAGCTGGCTGGTAGACAGCTTTTAGCTCTGGACTGGCAACCATAGTGGAATTATCAGCTGTGTTGTTGGCTGCACCTGCCAATGTAGCATTCTGACAGTGCGCTACACCAACACCTTGTATCAGAGCCACCAGTGCAGGCACCAGCCCACTGAGACCTTCACCTACAAAGTATGTCGTGAGGTACTGTGGACGTAGCCGCATCATGAAAGGCAGAAAGGTAACAGAGGAGGTGCAGTCTACTACAGAGAGCAGGAAGCTTAATACCAGCAGGGGCACACTGTGCAGAGAGCCCCCTACTGTCACCCTGTGCCTCCAGAAGAAAGCCAGCAAAGACGTAGCAATGACCCCCAACCCCACAATACAGTAGATGACAGGACGCTCATCCAACACCCCTGGGCGGAAGCGATGCATCAGGGTGATGAAGAGAGGGCCTATGTTGGCCATCTGGATGAGGACTGTCAGGTAGGAGGGCAAGTACCAGCCCTCTGGGATCGCTGTTACAATCAGGGGAAGCTCCACCCACATCCCATTAATGGCCACCCAGGAGCCCATTCCAAACAGGCACGCCAGTATGTGAGTCAGGAGTGACATGATGGATACAGGAGTGAGAAGATGTCGATATACAAAATCTGAAATACAAACACAACACAGACCTTCTTTTTATTAGAACATGAACAATCTATAGAATACATTTTGGCATAAAAACATATTTAAAAATGAAATTTCAGTCTGTTATTTTACCATAACTGTGATATGATCTTTTCAGTTTCATCTAACCAAATTATAAGGATAATTACCTTTATTTTATGTTACACACAAGGAATTTGTTTGCAGTACAGAACTGAGGCAGCCATCTGCGGCACCAACTCAAATAATGGCTCAAACCATCGAGACCAACTTGAGGGTTCAGTGTCTTGCCCATGGACACTTCGACTGCAGGCAGAGGGCACCAATATTCAAGCCCCCAACCCTCCGGTTGGGAGACGACTGCTCTACCCACTGAACCACAGTCGCCCCCCGATGTATTATGGATATGTTAAAACACCCACATTTCATAGGTCAATGTAGTGGAGTAAAAAGTATAATTTTTGTCTCTAAAATGTCATGAAGTAAAACTATTAAGTAGAACAAGATGAAAATATTCAAGTAAAATACAGATACCTCAAAATTGCACTTAAATACAGTATTTGAGTCAAAGTGATTAGCTACTTTTGTAGAAAGAAATTCTTGATAAAATAATATAGTGCTATGTTATGTATTTGCAAAACTGTTTAAAAGATTGTTTAATCTGCTTGACCTTTATAATGGCTTGACCTGTGCACTAGAAATGCTGTGTGTCTAAGTGCAGACTCAGAACAACAGGAGGTTGTGCAGATGCAGACTGAGACTGTCTGCAAGAAGAGTTGTGAGGGTATAAGGTCTTATTGTTTTGGCTAAATATTATCAACATTTATCAACATTATATGAAATGCTTAGCCTTCTATAATCAATATTAAAATCTGCATTAGCAAATATATCTACATGTTTATTTTAGTATCACATGCTTTATAATTTCCTTTTGTTTTAACCAGTTCACTTGTCTTTAAGAATATAGGAGACATGTGTAGGCTGTAAGGATCAAACAGGAACAAGACCAGGTTTTATTGCAACGGTGCCGGTGTTCTGTCAGATTTTGCTACCTTGTCGAGATATACTACCTTGTTGCAAAATCTATGGACTGACTAACCCCGCCCCAATCCATCCCCCTAACCCTAAACACTTTGTGAACGGTGGGTAGCACGTCTTGATGGGTAGCAAAATCTGACAGAACACCGGTCACAAGAGTTGAGCCGGAGATACTGGACTGAAACACCACCGAGGGGGATAAATATCTCCGGCTCAACACCAGTCAGTCAGAACTGATGAAGCCTCTTGGATGAGAGGTGAAATGTCTTCGACCTAGAAATCTAGTCCAGTTGATTTTTTCACTAGTATGGGGCTAGCCCAACCGAGGGGATATAATGTATAGGCCTGGTGGGTTCAGGGTCTTTCATCTTACATCTGCCTGCGTGCAGTTTGGAGGTGCAAGATACTTGAGCGTGTAATGTTAATTTTACCTGTGATCCTTTGACCATTGTGATCAGAATGTTTTTATATTATGTCAGCGGGTAGTGTGTATGTATATCCCCCCTCTCTCCCTTTGCATCTTACACACGCAGTACCCACTCAGTGTTGCTAACTCCTCAGTAAGGAAAGTAGCTATTGGCTGTCAAAGTCGCTAAATGGCGTCATCGCTTTCTTCTGTTGATTCTTGGTTTGCTTGTTTTTTATTTTGCCATTGAAATAGGCCATCACTTCTCAAAATAACTTCATGACTTTAATACTTTGTCTAGACCCACATTACATAAATCTATTTTGTCCTGTATTGGTAAATGCTAGAATATCAAATTTAATCAATTCACCCTCCTCTTTTATCCGGGCTCAGCGGCGGCTTTGCGCATGCGCGATTCGTTAGTAGTCTTGCCGCGGGGCGGAGTGGGTCTCTGCTCTGACTGCAGCTGGAACTGCTGCGCGAGGCTACTGTGAAAGTTTTCGGACGGAGGAGGGGCTCACGGAGGCACCTGCTGCACGTTGAGGACAGTAAATGCAGAGTGATACGTGCTTTCACGTCAGTCTCCAAAACACCAGAAAAGTCTCCAGTTACACCAGAAAAAGTCGTTAGATTTGTCGCTAGTCGCTTTTGACAAAAAAAGTCGCTAAGAGGATTTGGAAAGTCGCCAAGTTGGCAACACTGATTCCACTTCCGTATCTCTGCTGCACATGACAGGGGCGGGACTGCACAAGCGCATGTGTCCTCTGCCTCCATAACACTTCAGTTTCTATTGGAGGGTGGTTTCAAAATCAGTCAGCCATGTGCTGCCTCTTTGTGCTTGGGAGCTCAGCAATAGGAGGGGTGGGGGTGAAAGGGGGAGGTCTCATTTGGAATAGCTCCTCCTCTTTGTTTCCTACCCAACATGCTACTGTACGTTGAGGTCTGCCTTCTTTTAAACGCACAGGCTGCAGTGTGAGTAAGAAGTAGGACACTGTTTATAACGTCATTACCACTAGAGTTGAATTTACCTATATGTTAGAAAGTGTTAACACTGAACCCCCCCCCCGTTATGCTCTCCCAGCCTGAGTTGATTTCTGGTCTGCTGAGCCTCACGGGGCTCTCTCTGTACCAGCTGGTCTTCTGCATAAGCCAGCTTGTTGCATTTACTTTGCAGTTCTAGCTTGTCAGTCTTATGTGGTGTGTATACAGTAAGGTAACTCATCCGTAAAGACCCGTCTGTCAAGAACATTTGGCACAGATCTCAGTGGTATTCTCAAGCATGTCATTAGGTCAAGATTAAGGAAAAGCTATTTCCCTTAACAGCTTCTGAAGGCCCTACTGCCATCTCTGTAGGACAGTATGATTTGGTTACTAAAGTCCACAGTAGCAAGAAGTGAAAACCAAGAAGCCACCAGGAATCAGACTTTACTTCATAATTTGACTTTACTGCATTTTACAGGCAAATATTGAACGTTTTACTCCACTATATTTATTTAATTACTTCAGTTACTAGTTACTTTTTAGAACCAGATTAATACAAAAAATACAGTAAGATTTTATTGATCCCTGGTGGGAAATTCACAAGCTATCCAGCAGTAATTCAAATTAAATGCATATATGCTAATTAAAAACTATCTCCCCTTTACCATTTGCAACATTAAATGTGATGCACACAATAATGCATCAGCAATTAAAATACAATAACAATATTACATACAGGAATGTGAAATGTGGCATTTTGCATGAGGAGTAGGTTTATTTTTAGTACTTTAAGTATGTTTTGATGCTAATACTTTTGTAGTTTTACTTAAGTAACATTCTGATTTATTACACAGTATTTTTACACTGTGGTATTGCTTTTACTTGCATAACGGATCTGATTACCTCTTCCACCACCGATGGATGGAACCAGAATCAGCTTTATTGGATACGTTTGTTCAATACACAAGGGATTTGACTCTGGTTTCTCCCATTGTGCTAGTACTGCTCATTTGTCAGTCACTGTCTATGTAGACTGACAAATGTCTTGTCTTGTCTTGTCTTGTCTTGTCATTCACATCCCCTTCGGTTTGAATTGTAAGAACCTTGATGATCTTTTACATTTTCATCTAGCACAATCATCAGGTCAAAATAGACATTTTGAACAAACATTTCCTATCTATGTTAAACTAAACTGACTTATGGAGACAACACATATCTAAAACATTAAAATAAACAAAGATGCCCTTCTGCAATCTGAAATGAAACTGTGAGAACATAGACAGTCAAACCTTTTATCAAGGTTGCCAGCTGCATATAAGAGAACTGCCTGAACCAGGTTGACAAGTGCAGGAATAATCATGTTATACAGCAGACTACTACAGCGCAGTATGTAAATAAAATCAAATCATGCAAGATAAAGTACTATGGTTAAAATGCATTAAAATGTCATAATGCCCCTTTCATCCTACACTATACTATTGTAGAGTAGCATTAAAAATATACTACAGCATGTGGCAGAGTTGCACATACACAAATGCACATTTAATAAACCAGATCATTACCATGAGACATTTTCCCCTCATTATAACATTACACAACCAAGCACATAACACCATGAATTATCAGAACTTTTAAAATAACATCAATTCATCATTTACAGTTACACCTACCTGCTCGTGCTGGTGATGTGTGTGTGTGTGTGTGTGCCAATGGTTATTCTGCTCAGATGTCGAACATCACAATGGCCTCCTGATGTTTCTGTCTGTAAAGCATGCTTGCACATTGAACTAAGTGCCTTGTACTTTACCAGTCTGGAAGTCTGGGCTTTGTGTCATGTGACTGCTGAGGGCTGAGCCTAGGGTTCTGTTTGGGAACCAAAGTCTTCAGAGGCAGGGGTGGGTGGAGGAAGGGAACACAATGAAATAGGGCAGGAAAGAAAGGAGAGAGAGGGTGAGAGGTGAAAGGGAGCACTGGGGTAACAGTAGATGACAGGAAAGGACTGAATCTGGTACATGAACATGAAGGTACAGCTTAGCCAACCATAAGATGACTTTGAACAGCTTTGAGTGGGTGTTTAGTCAAGGGTCATCTGCGACCCTTGTTGGGATAAGCACTATAGATAATGGATGGATGCTTAGTCAAGGTCAGGTTGGCTTTTGTTCAGCACAAATTCCAGCACAAGTGAATGACCCCTGTTGAGCACTAACTTCACTCAAGAGCTCTTGCACCGCCCTTTGTCCTGATTGGTTCAGGCACTACATCTTCCCTTCCTGAATAATTACAACAAAATTCTTTGCTGTCTAATGACAGTGTTATGAAGCTAATTATTATTATTATTATTATTATTGTGAGCCAAAGATGCTGCTATCCAGTCACAGGATAGTGTTATTTTGATAAAACCTTAGGACTGTGTAGGGTACTCCTGTGTCCTGGAGCCATGAAGACTGCTTGTGTAGTAAGTACAATAATCTGCTTTCTTTCTCAAATCTGCTGGGGCCCTGTGTTTCAACAACTATGTCTGTGTTGTTGGTACTGCATGTCCCTTGCAAGTGTGTGTGAAAGATTCATTTGTTAAACATCAGCAGGAGGGCAGCCTGAGCTGGAGGTCTCCTGATACAGTTTCTCCCATTGAGGATGTATCATTACAGACAATAACAAAAGGCATGTACATCTAACCTTTATCCTCATTCTGTTGTCATGGGGACAGGTGATGCATTCTTTCAGCTTCATATGAACGCTTGTACCGTAATGTCTAACATGACACATTCAACTTTATATTAACAGAACTCATTTAATTACATCTTCTGGAAACATAATGTCATCAAACTTTGATCTTTTAGATTCTAATCTTTACACTGTCATCAACTCATCCATAGTGTTTGATTTCAGTCAAAACAGCACATGAATGCGGCATTGTATACTATTAATGGGCTTGGCAAATATTTTCATTTTTATTACAAAATGTATTTTTATACAAGAGGACATGAAATTATTAATGACATTCATCTACAGTTTCCCTAAATTAGACATCAGAATGAGTGCTGGGTATAGAAATTTTACAGTACAGAAAGATCAGGGTGCATAGCAATAGAATAGCAATAGTACAGTAAATTGTCAACCTTCTCCAAACATCAACACATTTAGGCCAAGTGGAAAAGTTACTTTCTCATATAAAAACAAATTTGACTTAAAAAAAAAAGTCTCCTGACAACTGCATAGACCAATTCGATATTCAAGCTATTGTCTTCAACCTCAGGTAGATTTTCTACAAAGAAATGCAGTAACTTTACATTGTTGATAACATATTGGCAAATATTTAATGCTCTATAATAAATCCAAAGTAAAAGCCGGGGCACAGGACAACACTGAAAGCCTGTGTAGTAGAATGATGGTGAAGCTGCAGTTGCTTTGCTCTCAGGATAAATGTGTTTCGCTATTTTTGCTAAAATAATGCATGTTCTTATTTTGGAAGAAAAACCTTAACCTAAACGCCTTAGAGAGGAGAGTAATAAAATTAAGACAGTTGTATGAATTTCTGGGTGAACTGGAGATCAGAGGGGAAAAAACATACAGTACTGTACATTCATGAAACAGAAATGTAAAAAATCTTCACTTCTATTATGTCAGTATTTCTCTATATCATGACAACTGCCAAATCTCCTACTTAGCAAAACAGCCTATCTACAGAATTTGGACACAGAAAAGTGCATTTTTATGAAAAAAAAATGTGCTAGAGGGAACTTTGTTGGAAGTACAGTGTTATAAAAAAACGACATACAGTATCTACTTTTTCACAGTAATGTTCCATAGAAATCCATACATCCAGAGCAAAACCAATCCTGAGAAAAAAATCTCTACATATCAACAATGACCTGTTGTACTTCAGTGCACTGCTCATTACACAGTCTCCAGTGTTTAAAACATCCTTTCAATAAAGAACAATAAAAATACATAATTACTGTACTTGGCATGGTGTCAAAAATGGCTAAAAAAAACGGTGTGGCCCTGCCAACAATGGTATCATCATGGAATGAAATATAAACAAAAAAATAATACCACACATTTGAAGGACAGCATACTCTACCCTTCACATAGTTATGGTTTTGGTATATGTGTTTTTGGATGCTCACTCAAACAGTGCAACCCCTCCACATACCAGATACAGCTGTATTCTAGCTGTATGCCACTAATCACATCACATTACTGCTTGTGACAGAGCATTACTCTCAGGTTCTGGTAGTGTCTGACTTTACTCTTCTTTACAACCACAAAAGAAGAACAAGCTGGAAAAAATAAGCTGATTTAAGCAAGGCTATCATGCAAGTCATATCCATGCAGAACCTTTCAGTTCCTACTCTCTTCATAATAAGATGCTACTGTATGAAATGCAAAAGAAGGCAAAAAAGTATTTTTGTATCAGACTGACATCCTCATCCTCCACACACAAGCTTCAGAGATTTCTAAAATCTAAAGACCCTTTAGCATCACCTCTTTACTTCCCCATCAGTGTCTGTTTTTTAAATGTGACTGATGCTCTGTTTTTTTTTTTTTTTGGCCACTCCCCCACTTTGCTTCTGCTTATCACTGCTTCAAGGCCCTGAGGCTGTGTTTGGGTTCAGCACTGCAGCACACACATGGCTCTCAGAGGCAGAGGTATTCATGTGGGTAATCTCTCTGTTTCATCTACAGGGTGCAAAAGAATGAAAAGAGACAGGGGGCGGTTAATGCATGTGTGTGTGGCCAGTGAAAATTGTAATTCTGCAGTTTTCCTTAAAAATAATAGACTGATTGTCTAACCTGGTGGTGAAGGAGAGCTGTCCTCCCCTGTTGTAACAAACTGTAGATCAGATCCCAAAGCAGCGATGGAGCTCCTGGGACGGATGCACCGGTCACCTGAGAAACTTCTGCGAAGTAATGCCTGAAATAAGACGTTAAATCTAATTAGAGTACAATAGCTCAGTGGTGAACTATCTCAAAGTGCTTATGGAAAGTGCTCATCAAAAACATATTAAAGAAAACTCAATTTAAAGTATAAATTCAGCATACACGATAAGATTCCACATTTTGAATAGTTAAGCAAACACAAAGTTGAATTTCACAGTTAGAAAAGTGGAAATTGATGAAATTGAAGATGTGTCTTCCTTGTCACTTATATGAACTGTATACATGTACAAATATGCTGACTCAACATACATTGTGAGAAACAGTGCAGCACAGTAAAGATTACAAATCTTCTCAAAGATGGTCTGTGGTTACAGACACAGAACTAGTGCAGTCATGATATTTTGCCACCTGTAGCACCTAGATAAACTGATTTTAAAAACTGGATGTTGCTGTGGCCAGTTATAACATGAGCCTTACAGCCTTGCGTGTCAAGGGGCTGGTGGGGGCTGAGGCACTGCTGTAGAGGCTGAGGCTTGAGTTGGACCTGCTGACAGTCAAACCCTTGGAGGTGCTTCCTGTAGGAGATAAGTACTTCTCTTTGATCTTCAGGTTGGTTCGACCTTTAACTGTTGGTGACACAGCAGATGGGTTGAAGAGAATACTGTACAAAAATGTGTAGTTTATATTAACAACACAGATGCAGTATGTATAAATTACCAACATGTGGTTGCCAGTACTAATCTGTAAATGGTGAGCTTTATAATGGACAAATCACTAGGAGGTTAAAACTTATATTGCAGCGGTGGAACATGCTGACATGTACAATAGATGCATGTGCTACAGGAGTTTGATGGTGTAAAAATGCAAAGAGATAAAATAAAACCAACAAATAACGTTAGTTAAGAATATGCTATAGGTTAGTGTGACATCACAGAACAAACAGAATCTACGATCTAAGCTGGATGGTCTGTTGTACATAACACATTTATCTGGTGTTAGAAAAACTTTCACCTGAGACCAGTAATATATTCATGATATTAATGGCTGAATTTTTGGTGCAAGCATGTATCACTTTGATTCCTGCTAGGTGCTGAACAGTACAGTTTGAAGGAATGTTTGGAACTTTGGAGATGTGCACCGACCTCTGCAGGGGTCATTCTTAACCAGAAACTCATCGAGGGCAGTCCAGCCCCCTCCCACTCTGACCATCAACGTGCTACGCAGGATACGAACCATCCGCAGCTGTTGGGAATCACCAAACTGCAGCAAGCAAATAATGTACATGTTTCAAATTATATCACAAAACACAAACTCAAAATGTTAGTTTACCTGCATGGCAGAAGAAACTTCTTTTTTTGTGTGTATAAAAAATACTCACTCTGTATCTATTAGCACTTATTTGCTCCACTTGAAACCTCTTGGGACAGCTGCACTGTGATACTTGTCGGCTCACCTAAAAAAGGCAAAACAGTGTGTCACAGTGAACACACTATGTGAATGGTTCCCACTGTTTCCTTATACACACACTGCTCTTACCTCTTCATTGATTTGATCTGCATCCAGTGCTTTCCTGTAGGGGTCCCTGCTGGGGTGGAGTGCACTCACAAACTCATAGTAATCTATAAAGCCATCATTGTTCATGTCAAAGATACTCGCCACAGCATTCATCTCCAGAGAGTTGGTGGGAAATTCTATAAGAGTGAGGTGTAAGACCAAGAAGACTGTAAACATTAACTTAATTACATATATGGCATATGTCATGAAGTAAACAAGTTTCAATGAGCTTATAAAGGTATTTCAGGCATCATGAAAAAGTGATACATAGGTGATTCACAGCGAGCAGATCTTACTGGAGGCCAGGACATAATCGACGAACTCCTTCTGGCTAATGCGTCCATCCTGGTCCCGGTCGATGCTGCGGAACACGTCTAAGATCCTTGACTTCAAATGACTAATCCACTGAATGTAACGCTTTCGCCAAATATTGAAGTCGAAGTTTGCAAATGCTTCCATCTGTGCAGATATGTAAAATGTCAGAACATCACCTCAATAAGATTCATAGAGCTAATTTTCTAATCTACAATTAAAAAGACTATTCAGTCGTTTTTGCCTGCTGATAATGACAGCAAAACCTGTTAAGTACTTTTCAGTGATAACCTCTTTGAGTGTTTTCTGGTGTTGTTCCAGATGGTTTTGTCTCGCTACCGCCAGGAGCCAAAGTTTCTGCCACTGACTGACCAGCTCACTGAGCTGTGGAGTCTGGGGGTCGAGGTGCTCCAGGGGAACAGGTACAGCAGGCTGCAGCTTCAGAGTACTCCTCCTCTCTGCATGGGGAAACAGAAACAAGGGTGTCTGCAATCAGCTCAGTCAAGTGATATCTGCTTCACACATCATTAGCTGGGAGATAGTCATCAAGCTGTCAGAGCTCATAATACAAGAACTGATCAAAATTGTCTATTTTAACAGAATGTAAACTGCACTGTTCTTACTTGTGAGTGGCCGTTTGCGGGGGGAAACTTGCTGTTTGGATATGCTCTTGTGTTTGCAGGATTTTGTCGCGTGTTCAACCTCTGGGAGCTTTTTATTCAACTCCTCCATGAACACCTGCAGAAAGGGACAATCACTGACCACTGTATTTGAGTGGAGATTATGAATTTGTCCAGAAAACATGGAACAAAGTATTTTTGGCAGTTCACAGGAAAGATAAATTTGTACCCTGTGCTGCTCAATAAGTTCTTGGTTCTGCTGTGTAGTCTGAGGCAGAGGCTCTTGGTCTCTGAGGATGAGGGTTTCCTCTGCTGAGGAGATCCAGTCCAGAAGCCTGTGGACTTCCTCTCTCTCTGTCTCCAGCTCTGCCAAGCTCGCCTGGATCTTATGTCCCTGCTGCTGAGCCCATGTCTGAACCTGATTTGGAAAACAGAGACCAGGAGGGAAATTGTGTCAGTCACATCTGGATGCCTTCTGATTATGACAATGTATTTCAGTATATGAATACATAGAGGTACTGGATACATGTGTTCCTAGCATTTGTGAACAGTTTCATTTTTAACAACTATTTAATACCTAGAAGAAACCAAATGTGCTCTTATTTATCTCTCAGGCACACTCACCTCCTCATAGCGGGTCTTAGTGACACTGATCCAAGATTTGAGGGTGATTATGGAGTCTGGGTGACAGGAAGCCAGGATCTCCTCACCCAGACACTGGATGTTCTCCAGCTCCACCGCCTGAGCCCGCAAGGCACTCAGCGACTCCTATGGAGAGCAGAGAAAAGGACTTTTCAGTGTTTTATCCATTAACACACACATGGCACTAACCACTAGCTTGGAATAATTTGAAAACCTATATTAATTTATTTTTGACATACAACTATGTAACTATTTACATACTGTATATTTGTTAAGCAGCCTTTGGCTAAACAGCTGAGTCACTTGATTCTCATAGTGCTTGCCCTTCACGTGGGTGAAATAGATTCAAGCAATGCCTTGTTTAACTGCCCTTGAGCCTTCCACTGAATCCTTATCAGCACCCACTTGTTGTTTTGTAGCAGACCCTGACCTCTAACCTCAGGATAAGACAGGGAAAAATGAATTTCCTTATAGTATTTCATGTGTGTACCTCATGTTGTTTGTGGAAAGCAAGCAAACTTTCCTCCTCCTCTGGTATCACTCCATATTTCAGTATCCTCTCATTCTCAGAGAGCCGCTCCATGAAAGAGTGGACAAGGCCATCGAACGTCTCAGCCTGACAAGAACAAAGATAGATAAGAATTGGGGAAGGCTCTATTTACAGTACATGTTAGCCCTTATGAGCTCTTCCTAACTGTCATCCCTTGTACTATGAATGTGTTTCCACATGACCAATTAGGCTTTTTCACCTGAACAAAAATAAAATTAGTGAGAAAAGTGAATATCTGCAATTGGGGAGGAAATGATGAAATTTCAAGCCACAGTATTTGGCTTAGTGACAACTTTAGTCCAAAATTCACCCTAACTGGACATTTCAGAATATACACATTTAGCTGGAAAATCACCTGCTGAAGTGCAGCTTCCAGCCTGTCTTGCTTGCTGACTGACAGTTTGCACACAGCCTCCCAGCGGCCCTCCAGTTCACCCATCTGCTCCTGCAGCCAGTGAGCATCAGCTGTGCTGCTCCTGGTCAGATCCCTCACAGAGCGCTTCAGGGTCCTAATGCATCCAGCTCGCTTGCCCAGCTCCTTTTGGAACGCCTGAGAGAAAGAAATAGCTGAGAACATGCTTTTAACCTACAGAACAGCACTGTGAAGAAGCTGCCGCAAAAATATAATATTTGAAAGGCAACCCACAGTAATTTAGTATTAATCAATGATGAGAAAATGTACCTCTGTAGACAGAAGTATTATTACTATAAGCAAATGAGATCTCTGTGGAGGCTGCACTGCAGCCTCTATTGTGAGAGTGAGTTCACCAGTTATTTAAAAAAAAAAATTCTACATAAATTATCACAAATCCTGTGTCCCTGTTGGAAATACAATGTGGCACGTATGCAGAAGCGTCATGTCCGGTGAGGTGTACATTATTAGCACAACTTTAATTTGCATGGCAGGTGTTGTACCTTGTGTTTGTCTATCAGGTTGTTGACTATGTCTTTGTCTCCACCAACAGGAACATCCTCAGCTAGTTGGGGCCCTGCTCTGTACAACCAGTCATTCAGTGCCTGGAGAGCATCAGTGAATCTGCCTGAGAACAGCAGTGCTTCCTCCAACTTGTGCTGTCTGACAGACAAAAAAAACAAAAAAATGTTTACATTTGATATTCTCTTTTATCAGTTTGTAGACATTTGGGTGCACATGTGTGTATACTGCACCTCTCCATAGACTTGCCACTGATGGTGTCCCACGTGTCTTTAAGTTCAGCCAGTAAGTTTTCCAGATGTTGTCGATCTTGGCTGGTGTGAGCTCGTTCATGCAGGCTGCGGCCACTCTTCAGTGTGGCCTCGTACATAGGTCTCTTTGACCTCAGCAGTTTCTGGAATTCCTAATTATGATATAAGGGATCAGTAAAGGCAAACACATAGTATTTAACCTATTTATGTTCATTCTGATGCCTACTGTACCTTCTGTTCAGTCAGTTGTTGTTTAATCTCCTCGTGCGACACAGCAAGCTCTTTGTGTGTGTCTAATGTCTGTTCTACTTCAGCCATCCAGTCCACTAACAAGCACCAAGATTCATTAAACTGAAATATGAGAAATAAAGACATGTTATACAAAAGCTGTGGCACAAGTCACACTGCAAGTACATGCATAGTTGGAGATAATGGTGAATATAGTTCATTTATACTGGAGTTGATATAGTGATATACCTGTTTAGCACTCTTTCTGACCTCCTCCAGCACCCGGCCTCTTTCTGAAGTACGTTGCTGTAACCTTTTGAAGCGGTCCTGGACGGTCATGATTAGGTTATGAATGACATCACAGTCCTCCTTCCTGCTCAGTTCACTTAGTCTACAGCCTGTGTTCTCCACTGTGGCCTTCTTCTCACTGTAACCATTAACCTCATTCACCAGTATCTGTACAAATGTAAGCATTTCATGAATCCAAAAGAAATACTTATTGTACATATTGTATGTAACTCTGGAACTGAAGCAGGCAAACAGAAAACTACAGCAGGGATAAAACAACCTACTCTGTGGTCCTGCAGCTGAGTACAAACTGTGTCCAGAACAAAACTAGGAGCAGGAAGAAGTCCAAGAGACTCTTCACATTTGCTCATCTTAGTGAGAAGTTCCTGGACGTTACTGTGAAATTCCTTGGCCAGACTCAGTCCCTCTGTCAGCTTAGCCTGCGGGACAAGTGTTACACTATAATATAATCATGCATTTGTATTCATGATAAAAACAAAATGGTACTAAAAACAAATGAGATATCAAGACAGCGAGGTAATACTTGATTATGTAAAGTTAAATAACCTTTCGCTCCTGGACTTTGCCGTAAACAGAAACCCATTTCTGTTCAAGAATAGACAGGCTGTGTTCTGTGTTTGATCCCCGCACGAGGTTGCTGCTCTCTAGCATCCTGTGGATGGCATTCCTCACATCTGTGTAGGTGTGGAGCTTCGACTCCATCTCATTGCACAACTCCTGTCATGGGTGAGACGAACATCAGTTTGTTAGGGAAGAAATGTTTTTGCACTGGGTGGCATTTTTTAGTCCTCTGTGTCTCTTTAGAGTTGATAGAATCATTTGTCTCACCAGGTGGGCACTGAGCCGTTCACTGGCAGAGTCTGGCATCCCCCACATGGTCTTGGAGGAGGACAGTCTCAGGTCTGTGTTCTCCAGCCACTGCAGCAGGTCCTGAATTTCCATTGTAACATCTTGGACCTGCAATATACACAATACAACTAATGCAAAGCTCTTAACTTAAGTTATGCCAAAAGTTCAATCATGCAACATTAAGTGTAACAATAACTGCCAAATGGTGAAACATAATTTGGTTATTATAATGTAACTTTATAAGCAGATATATAAGATATGGCTTAAATTATTATTTCACTTTAACCTTTGCCTCCTTTAAGACAAAGCATGAAATTTGGGCCTTTCTGTGCGGAGTTTGCATGTTCTCCCCGTGCTTGTGTGGGTTCTCTCCGGGTGCTCCGGCTTCCTCCCACAGTCCAAAGACATGCAGCTCTGGTTGATTGGTGTCTCTAAATTGCCCGTAGGAGTGCTTGTGTGTGTGAGTGGTTGTTCGTCTGTGTGTTAGCCCTGCGATGGACTGGTGACCTGTCCAGGGTGTACCCTGCCTCTCGCCCACAGCTGGTTGGGATTGGCTCCAGCCCCCCGTGACCCCGTTTTGGATTAAGCGGTATAGAAAATGGATGGATGGATGGATGAAATTTGGACTTGCCTCTACACACTGGTATGTTCATCTTTGTAATAACCAGAAGAGGGCGCCAGGATACACTGATAATGAAACACTAAAGTATAGCTGAATAAATGGTGCAGTCTAATACATTGTTTAACAGGGTATCACATATAAAGTAATTATTGTGTGTGACCTTATTCGTGACCTTTCAAAAATAAAATAATTCTCTCTTCACCTGACTCAGTCTGTTCTCTAGCTCCAGCTGCCTACGTTCAGTCTCACAGCGGACAAACTCCCAGGTTTCGTGGAGTTGCTCTAGTCGAGCCTGCAGACCATGTGGGCTGTCCCCAGACCCAGCCTCCAGCAGCCCCCTGCCTGCCTGATTGAGGGACTCCATCGTGCGAACATGGGACATGACATCATTATGCAAGACCTTTTAGAAGAAAGAAGCACCAGGGATTAGCGATGTATTATTAACAGTGTACTGCTTGGAGGTGCAAATGGCCAAATGTTTTCTGGTCTTAGCCATGTCTGGCAGTTCAGAAAATTAGACCAGCACAAACCTTGTGTTTGGCCAGTTCTATTTCACAGGTCTGCAGGTCGATGCTGATGGACAGGCTGCCCTGCAGTTGTTCAGCAGTCCTGGAAAGCCATGTGTGCAGCTCATCCAGTGTGTTTTGGAACTGACCAAGACCCAGCAGAGCGCATTCCAGCTGATGCTGCAAATAGAATGAGTGGATTGAGTGGACTAATAGGCTTTCAGGTGACACAACATTATACTGTAGATGACAGCTGGATTCAGAACAACATGTTTTATTTCTAAACTTGGCGGTGTGACATAGGTTATTTACATGCTGGACTAAACAAATAACTTGATTTGAGACATTGTGCACATAGTGGATTATAGTGCCATGATAACATTACATGATATCCTTGTGTGTATTCTCACCTGTCTGTTGACTGTCTCTGACTCCAGGCTGTCCCAGCGTTGTCTGAAATCACACAGAGGCGATACTGAGCCTGGACGCTCTGAACCTGGAGACAGCCGGCATACAAAGCCATGGTTCAGGCTTTCTATCTCGATTTTCTTCTGGTAAAGTTCCCTCTTAAATTCCTGAAGGAAAGAATACAGCTTGTGGATACATGTTTGAAGTCACATTCAATTCACTATTAATGTGACTGATATGCTTTATGTTACAATACAACACACATATTCGGAAACCTGATCTGAGTGCATGAGAATCAACACACTTGCTAGTCTCAGTACTTCAGTGCACAAGCTCACCTTAAGATCGCATAGCTGCTCTTTAACTGATTCCAGGTCAGTTTCTACCATGAATTCTTCAGTAGACCTCAGCTCAGCTGACTTTAGCCACTCAAAAAGACCCTATTAGCAAAACAACAACAAAGTATGTATATAAGCACAATAAATGATATTTGTCCACTCAACCCTTAAAGTTTTGATTCTCATCACAAAATTGATGACAGTTTTGCTCTCAGCTGCCAAACATGTATTCCCACTGATATATACAGCTAATTACATTTCATCTAGTTTTCCTTTAACTGTCATTGTCAGCTCATCTGCATGTGGCAGAGAACCACAGAATGAATTTTGTCATTTAGCCTACTCACAAGTAAAGGTAGCCAGAGTCTGAGCTTACTATTACAAGGGAATGAAAGGCTAGTTTTGTCTTTGATAGGATGCAGTGATACTGCTTGCTTCAGGCAGTGGTGGAGTACAACCCTGGTTGTAAAGTGTGTCTGTTGTTTACTCTGTCATATTCTGTTTTCGCTCCCTTGTGTGTGTGTGTGTGTGTGTGTGTATTCTTGTACTTGCTATACATACCGAGGACCAAAGAAGTATTTTTTTTTTTTGCTGCAGAGTGAGGACATTTTTGGAAAGTGGTGGCATTTTGGTTCATCCTGTTAGGTATTTTTTAGTCAGATAGATATTGGATAGATACTTGCTGTATTAGAAATGTTTAATGGAGACAGGATGTCTAGGTAGGCTGTTAAATGCTTAGTCATTCTCATGAGTTTTTTGCAGGGTGCACATGGTCAAGGATAACTAGATAGAAAAGTTTGACTGTCAGCAGACAGGATGATTATTGTTAGTATTATGATATGTTTAGCCGTAATCTTAATCATAATATCGTCCTAGGCTTAATGTCCGGACATGTCCCTGAATGTCCTGTATGTTCTTAGATACACACCACTTAATCAACACTCACACACATTGATTTTCTCCATGTTTTGACTACTGCTACGGTCAGTCCACCTCCAATACTGCGCGCAGGCAGATGAAGAATGAAAGACCCCGAACCCAACAGGCCTGTACATTATATCTGGTTTGGGCTAACCCCATTCTACACAGGCACGTCAAACCGTGGCGTCACCTGATATGCCAGCTTTACAGCTGACCGTAGCAGTAGTCAAAACATGGAGAAAATCAATGTGTGTGAGTGTTGATTAAGTGGTGTGTATCTAAGAACATACAGGACATTCAGGGACATGTCCGGACATTAAGCCTAGGACGATATTATGATTAAGATTACGGCTAAACATATCATAATACTAACAATAATCATCCTGTCTGCTGACAGTCAAACTTTTCTATCTAGTTATCCTTGACCATGTGCACCCTGCAAAAAACTCATGAGAATGACTAAGCATTTAACAGTCTAACTAGACATCCTGTCTCCACTAAACAGTTCTAATACAGCAAGTATCTATCCAATATCTATCTGACTAAAAAAATACCTAACAATCTTCACTTTGTGAAACACCTTTTTGAGGGTTAAGACTTGGTTTTAAGGTTGGGGTTAGGGTAAAGGTTATGGTTAGGTAGTTAGTTCTGATGTTAAGGTTAGAATAAGGGGCTAAGAAATACATTACGTCAATGAGTGTCCTCACAATGATAGAAGTAGATAGAAGCGTGTGTATTAGTGTGTGTGTGTGATGAATGGAGAAGGTTATACATGTGATTGGACTGTGCATGTTCCTCAGATGCTGATTTGTTGCTGCTTTAGACACAGAAACTCAAAAGTGGGCTCCTCCCTATCCATTTGGGCTCTCCTCTTCACAGCTACCAGACCCAGTAGCCAGCATGTTGTGTGCCCTTCCATGCATCTCATGTAGTTCTAAATAATATAAAGAACCAGTTTCTTGTGCAAGAGCCCTCTGTGGCATTAGCATTTTTGTTTTATATCTTTTCTCCTGTTTTTCATTTTGTTTTCAGTTCAGTTAACTATACATGATTTAAGAACGTGAGAAAAAATTTGGTTGGTGGTTGGTTTTGTTTGTTATTTTGCTGTACCCACCCTGAAGTTTTAGCAATCCCATTTGGCCTGGATTTGGCAAATAAAATCTGATCTAAGAGGGCTTAAACATATTTATTAAACTTGTTATTGTTGGGAGTTTCATTCAAGTTGCATCTACTGTAGGTCATCCTAGGCTGCGGCAAAACAGGTGACCAAAAAAGTCTTGATCATGGCATGTTTATTAGTATATGTGTACACATACACTAATAAACATGTAATATATACACATGCTGTATATAGGCACACACCTGCATAGTGTCTTGGTAGTGCAGAGCCATCTGTAATGACTCCTCCAGCTTTCTGTGACACTCGTTCCAGAGTTTGCTCAAGTTGTTCCATGTGCAATAAAGCTACAAAAAAGCAAAATACACGATGTTAGTCAGCACTTCTTTATGAGAGGAAAATGATTTAATATGAATTATTTCTTACTTCATCTAGGCTCTTTGTGACATCTGGTTTGTCTGTATCCCCACATGCTGACATAAGGTCCATTCCCAGAACACCAAGAGTATCAAGATCTCCCTGTAAACTGTCAATATCCTCCCTGAGAGTCTATAAGTAGAATAAATTACAAAGGTCGCATAGTGTCATGGTGAATAATTCTATATGACAATATTGGTTTCTTACATTCCAGAGAATAATCAGACAAACCTGCATGGTTTCGAGGCTCTGACGAATAGTTTCGGAGTCTGTTTGGCTAGAATTGAGGTCCAAAACTGCTTGCTGAGCATCACTGAGAGAAACCGTGACATCGTTTACATCACTCCAGAACTTCAGGGCAAGATCCAAGAGTTTGAGCAGCCAGCTTTCTCTCTCCTGGGCCTGAGTGTGTGTCTCATCCCACAGCTGGGTCAGGCTGAATGCCTGCTCCTGGATTGCTATATACAAGCAGGATATTGCTTAAAATCACCAAGTTTCAAAGGGTCAATATTACTTTTGGTCCTACTGTATGTGTACTAGGACAATACCTTTGCCGATGGATCCATCACCAGCAGCCTGTGTGTTAGCCAGCAGCTCTTCTGCCTGTGTCTTGACACTGCTGAGACCCATCTCCAACTTGGACAGCTCAGCCAGGGTCTGTTTGTTGCCCTGCAGTTGCTCCTGGATCCTTGGGGTGAGACCTTGAAGTAAGCTGGGAGTCTGTATGCCACTGCGCAGGCGGTCAAGACTCTCTCTGATAAGATTCATCCTCTCATTCAGCTACAGGAACAAAAGAAGATATGAATTTGTGCGCCTGTGTATGTTTCTGATATATTGCACAATGTTGGGCTCTTTATTACATGCTCTTCAGTATCCAAAAATCTTACTTGTGTGAATCGAGGCAAGGACTCTTCGAGCAGACAAGCAGCCTCTCTGACCCGGTCTCTGATGGCTCTGTGCTGCTCCTCGGCCTCTATAGCCTTGCGACAGAAGTTGTCCCCCTGAATGGGGTTTAGTTCTGACAACTGTTTTGCCAGAGAGCATAAGCGTGCAATTAAAGGCCTGTGTTCTGCTACAGACTCCCTCAGACCCTTAGCAGAGGACAGAGAGAAAGAAAGGTTTAATAACAATGTTGAGAGCGTACTCATGTTGTGAGCTTAATTTTTATAATGAATAGAGGAAGGTTGAAACACTGTACAACTGCACTGGTGGAAAAGTAACTGTGGTCAGGAAGTAGATTACACTAATGAACTGTGCCTGTACAGAGCAGCTCATTTACCCAAAGGAGAATGGTGGCAGACTGTAATGTACACAAAGACTTCTTTGTTGAACAGGACAAAAAGAGATGATTAAAAAAAAAAAAACTGGCGCTCTAATGTCGACAGGCAGGTTTCCTCTACCTGCAAAAGGTCCTGTTGTTCCCGAAATGCTTCATAGCTAATTGTGCTCAAGGACAGCTGGCCAATAAGGGTTTGAGTTTCTTCAAGCCAAGGTGAAACCTCAGCGAGGCCCTCTGAGAACTGGAGAAGAAGGGACTGAGCATGCTCAAGCTGCAGAACCACGTGAGAATTGGTGGCTGAAGTTGTGTTGCATTGTTCCTGTAACGCATCTGTTGGGGTCTACACAGAGAGGTGACAATACAGTAAAGAATATAAGAGTCTTACATTACTTACAAGAGTAGCACATTTGTTTACATAATCACTAAAATAAATGTGTAAAATCCAGGATCACACCTGAAGATCGCCCGTTTCTCCTTCATCACTGTAAGTCATCAAGATTTCAGCAATCTTCATCATCTTCTCAATGTTGAACCTGTGTTGAAGAATCTCTACCGCCAAAATCTATTCAGGAGGTAACACATCAAATTACATTCAAATAGCAAACATAATTTAAATGACTTAGTTACATTTATTTAATGTCCTGACCTTCTGTTCATAGAGTTGCTCGGCTATGAGCTCTGGATCCAGGTTAATGGTTTTCAGCTTTTCAAGACTCAGTGCTGTGTCTCTGAACCAAGCCATCTCCTTCACCACAGCCTGTTCCAGCTGTTAGGAATTTACTGTATGTTAGCACAGTATTAATAACAGTCACTGAAACATGATACTACTATTTCTGAAATATAACACTATTTGGAAGGACATACAGTACTGGTATTAGTATCATTCTGGTTCATAGATAATCAGGTTTTAAAATTAATTTAAATTATACACATTATGGCTAAATATTCAAAGAGAATCAATGGACACCAATGAATGGATAATATAAGTATTTAGAAAAACAGCAGGGAACATATGCAATAAAAAATTAATGAAAATTATAAACTTAATATTAAAAATGAAAACAGGCAGTATAAAAAGAAGTGAAGAATTATATCAAGATAAATAAATAAATATGTTCTAAGTAGTATTGAGATATAAGCAATATATGAAATTTTGAAACTTTTACCATAGAAAATATTTAAAATGTAGCAAGAATAATAATGGGAAGAAAGAGGTTTTCTATTAAGCATGTAGATAACCTAGTAGTTTAAATAGTAGTCCTATAACATTAAGTCAGTTCTAATATGTCAATGCAGTCTCAAAAGTATCGGGAGCAGTGTAGGATGCCCTAATCTTGGTAGCTCAGAAATCAGCTCTGCCTAATAATGCAGGAAATTACTGCCCACAGCTGCTTTGTTAAACTGCTAGCTGGTTGGCCAGCACAGAAGTGACTTTGTTCAGGTATGTAGTTAACTAGGCTAATGAATTTGAAGCCATCAAGCTGACTTCCATCCATCCATCCATTCCTGAATAGGATCGTAGGGGGCTGGAGCCAATCCAAACTGACACTGGGCAAGAGGCAGGATCCACCCTAAACAGGGCACCAGTCTATCACAGGGCTGACATGTAGACGAACAACCACACACACTTGTGTTCACTCCTAGGGGCAATTTAGAGTCAACCTAAACTGCATGTCTTTGGACTGTGGGAAGAAGCTGGAGCACCCAGAGAGAACCCAAGCAGCCACAGGGAGAACACGCAAACTCCACACAGAAAGGCCCTGAGTCGGCCCAGGCTCAAACCGTCTTGCTGTGAGGCGACAGCGCTAACCTCTGACCATATCTCCATTGTGTTAGTTCCTGCTTACTGTCCTGTGCTTAAAGACAACAAGCCCACACAGTAAACCATCGCTGCGTGTCCTAGTGGAGCGTATGCCCATGCTCCAGGACTGTTTAGAATGCACCAACTGGCAGATCGTCAGGGAAACTGCGGCCAGCGAGGGCGGGGATGGACATGGAGGAGTACGCGCCATCAGTTTTTGGTTATATTTGCAAATCTATTGATGATGTCACCACCGCCAGGAACATTACCATCCGCACCAGTCAGAAACCTTCGCTAAATGGAGAGGTACAGCTTCTCCAAAGGGCACCGGTGATGGGATTGATCTCCCATGAGTTATTGTACCACTAGGAGGCAGACGATCCTGTGGACTGGTGGAGAGCAAATAACCTCTGTATCAGTGTAAGACTTTAGGAGGTGGACTTTAAGAAGAGAGGGCGCACACCCCTCCCCACTTTAATGGAGGAGCAGCTGTGGAGATGGTCTCCAGCTTCAGGTACCTTGAGGTGCACATCTCCAGTAACCTGATGTTGACCAACAACACAGCCAGCATCATTAAGAAGGCCCATCAATGCCTTTATTTCCTCAGGAGACTGAAGCAGGCTGGCCTCAGCATTCCTGTCCTGATGGCCTTTTTCCAGTGTATGGTGGAGAACACACTCATCTTTTTCCATCACCACCTGGTACAGAAATGGCTCTGCTGCTGACAGGAAGATGCTGCAGAAGGTGGTGAAATCTGCCCAAAAGATTATACACTGCAGCTTGACCTCCACTGAGGACATCTACACCAGCAGGTGCGGGATCAGACCATCCTGCATCATGAAGAATCCCACCCACCCAGCATACAAACTGTTTGACCCCCTCCCCTCAGGCAGGAGGTTGCAAAACATCTGAGGCAGAACACCAAGACTCAAATGTAGTTCTTTCCCTGAGGCTGTAAAACCTATAAACTCTAAGCTACACTGACCCTCGCCCTTATTTCCCCTACTGTGCTGCTAATGCTTTGTGTATTTTTTTATGTAAATGCTCAGGTAATCAAATTAATTATTTATTATGTTTTGTCTTTCTGGCACTTCTGTTTCATTGTACACTGCTGGTACTGAGTACGAATTTTGTTCTCCATGTGTCAACATGCAGAATGACAATAAATTTGAACCTTGAACCTTGTCCTCACAGCAAACTTAATCTACCATCTTTGCTCTAATGTATACGGGTCATGTGGTGTGTTCTTCTATATAACCTGGTTCATTTCAGTTTTGTGTGGGGACTGGAGGGATTACCCGCTGTCGCTCAGCTGCACATAGTACTGCATCTCCAGCATGTGTCTGAGCCCCTCGGGCTGGAGGTGCGGCGGCTAGAAGCCTCCAGAGCCTGCTCCAGCCTCTGCAACACATCCAGACTGCTCAGACTCAGCACAGAACAATGGATACGCAGAGCATCCATTTTCTCCTGCACCTGTTGGGCTTCCTCCTCTGAAACACAGAACAAATCAGAAATCATAGGGTTTTTTTCAATATACTGTATTGGGTTGCATATATTTTGATGATTTGCTGATTATTTGAAAAATCCATATTTATTCAGTCTGTGTTTTTGACCATTACAAGAGTCTCTGACAATACTCTTATCTTCAAGTTTTAACAGCTTTACAGTGATGCAGTCAGCTGTTGCTACTTGCAGAGTTTCAGAATCTCAGCACTGGTATCATTAAAAATTGACATTCTCCCAACCACAGCATAAACGTTTACTGTACCCAGTAAACATTACCTGAAATTGCTTCCATTAGTTTATGGCCTGACTTCTGTATTTTCCCTAACTCCATGGTTTTGTCTCGAATCTCTTCAACAACAGCCTAAAAGAAACATGAGTAAAAATTATATTTCTTTACTCAAGCAATATATTCCTCATCACTCCCACATATAAATGCATGGTAGATTTCCAACCTTGGCCCGGTCTGTGGCCTCTGAGAGATGCAGCATCACTCTTTCTGCATTGCGTAGTTCAGCTAGGGCCTGTTCCACAGATATAAGCCATTGCTGCAAACTGTTTACTCCTTCCTGGAAGAGCTGGGCCCTGGGCAGGATAAGCTCCAGACTCACCCTCCTAACAGCAACAAAATGTCCACTATTACCATTGGTGAGTAAGATAAGCATCATGCAGTACGTCTTGCCAGCTGAATGTGTGGCATTACCAGTAAAAGTAACTGACCTTTGCTCTGCCTCCAGCTGTAAAGCCTCCCACTTCTGTTTAAGCATGGAGAACTTGACCTTTGCCTGCTCCCCCTCCTCTCCAGGGTGGGTCTCTACCAAACAAGGGCCCTCTGACATCATAGCATCCATACAATGCCGGCGGTCTTTTAGGAGGCGCTGCAAGAGCTGCAAAACAGAACCCACTCTGGTAATGCTCTACTTCATGAAATCAAAAAGGTTTATCATAGAGAGAGGAGTCTACAATATTTTCCATGTACTTGTAGAATGACAGAAGCTTCAAGAAAAAGAACACATTATAGAAAGACCCTTTAGATCAGAAATAACACTCCCATGTTTAATTTCAGACGTGTCATTACTTGCAACTAGAATTAATATTCACCGCAGCCCCATTCTTGTTTGTTTGCCTGCCTTTGTGTCAGTGTAGGTGAAGCCCTGTCTCATGTGTCAAGCTTACAGTACATTGTCAAGAAAGAGCCAGACAGGTTTCATCTCATCCAAAGAGCTCAGAAAGGGTGTGATTACAGCTAAAAGGTGAGAGACATTCCTGTTTTATTCATACCCTTGGGAAATGTTCACAAAGAGCTGCTGGGGCTCACTGTGGCTATGAACACCACCCATTCACCACTGAATAGAGCTGAATTTATATTATCAAGGGAGCATTCTGAGCATTTTCCATGACTTCAGCATTTGTATAGGTAAACTTTTCATGTCTATTCCCCTGGTCTAGCACTAGATGTTTTTGGAACAAGAAATAAGGTGAGGTGAGGTGATGTTAATGATAGCACACCTTTTGTTCTTGAAGCTGTGCTTTCACCACTTTGACCTCTGAGGATGGGGGTTTTTGATTAGCTGTGAGCTCCTCTATTTCACAGACCCATGTGAGCAAGGCTTCTAGGTTTTGGAGAAATGTCTCAGAGTCTATAGACACATCCTTTAATGCCAGGGCAGATGTTCCCTGGAAAAAGGCCATAATAAAATATTAGCTTGAATATGAATGAATTAAAACAGGTGAGTGATTTTAAAAGAAGTATGAGCGTTTTGGTCTTAGAACAGAAGCAGAAAGTGGTTTAGGTTAAAAACATACCCTCATTCTGTCCAGGCTTGAATCCTGGTCTGAGCTTGAGTGCCCATCACTTTGGAGCTGCAAAATAAACAGGTCATATGTTGTTTTAGTTCAGGTCCACCACCATGTTGTATGGACAAACGTTTTAACAAAAGCAGCTATATTGACAAAAGTTTAACTTTGCATGAGAAGAGGAAAGAATGAAATGGAAGACAGATGAGATTTGGTGTGATTAAGAGACGGTGATTCAGCAACCTCGGCAAGTTCCTCTGCCACCCCATTCAGGACTCTAACAGTTCTGGTGACTATTGGGTCCCCTCCTTTATCTCCAGATGGATATTCTGTAACTTCCACAATTTCAGTTATGATTGTCTCTGTCACCTCCGTCACCTCTGTAACCTCACGTGATGCCACGGTCTTCCAGGACCAGGGGCTTCCTTCTCTAGAGTCTCTCCTCTGGAAGCTGGCCCTCCTCTCTGCAGCACTCTTGTCTGGGTGAGCCAGAGGGGATCTGGCAAACTCCGGAGGAACTGTTCTCCGTGTTAGCGTCCCATTTCGGGATGTTTTTGCTGGAGAAGGGCTGCTGTGCCAGGCATTATCCAGGGTGCTGGTACTCCTGATTGTGGAGGCAGGGGAGCTGCGAAGTGGTTTGTCCGAATTGGGAGTTTGAGTCCCCTCCTCCCTCTTACAATCAACTTCCTGAGCCTCCCTGTCTATCTCCACCTCTCTTTCCGTGTTAATATCATCTGTGGCTTTGTCTTTGACAGCATCTTCTTGTTTGGCCTCCCCACATTGCTCAGAGGGTTGGCACTCCTTTCGTCGTTGGTAGCACTCCTTAAGGAAGTCCTCGTCTGACCTCACATGCTTGGACTTCTGGCCCAGGCAGTTGGGCCGGCTGATGAGGTTACCCATAATATTTCAGCCCAGAGGCCAGTGAGGTAATAGGTGAGGTATGGCCCCTTGGCCATGCATGCGGGAGATCCTTCAGCTACCTAAAATCAAACAAGGGGGCTCTGGGTCATCATGCAGTGAACAATTGCTCATTATGTAAATCACCAACATTCATACTGCTGCTCTTCTTTACAAACATATTTCTTGCTTCAAAGTCACAAAGTACTAGTTTGTACAGTATCTTCAGAAAACTGCTATGGAGCAAAATACAATCAGTTTCTCACATTCTTTATTTGCAAAAATGTTAAGCCAGCTTTGCTATTTTCTTGGCACTGAAAGACCAGAGGGAACTAGAGCAATGAAACTTGGCCAGCATATTCTCCATCCTTTTGTGTTCCTTTCAGCTACATACACACATGCTGCCCTCTATTTTATATCACCAACTGAAATATCTTGAGCTTAGAAATTAATGTGACAGGCTTGTCAAGGTTCCTACTGTTGTGCCTGGCACAGAGAGCCAGTGGCAACCAGCCAGCTGTTCCCCTAACTCAGCTTAGACAAGGCCTGGGAAACCTGTTAAGGTTCTAAATAAAAACACAGACATGTCTTCATTTTCTCAGAGGTGACAATGTACACAACATTAAAATAATATCTGCAGTTACAGAAGCAAAATAAATGTTTTTGTCCATAATGCTCACCAACTGTAATGTAGATCTTTCTTCTCACTACATGCAGTTAAATCCAACTGTGATCTCAGCAACATCTTATTTGACTAGAATTGGTATATTACTGAAAACACTGATCAGCAGTGACAGTTTCAAACTGTGTTCTGTCTGCTTCCCCCTCAGTTCAGTACCTTCATTATTTTGACTGAAGGGTTAAAGGTGAATGTAATTTTCCTGGTCTAGAGGAGCTGAGGTGAACCCATCAGGAAATCACAGGGAGGCTTCCTGTTGAGGCTGAGTCCTCCCTCTGAGGCTGGATTGGACTGGTTCATTCAGAATTATATAGCTCACCTCAGGCCATGTTTGGTGGCTAAAGATCTGTGGGGAGGCCAATATGGGTTAATAAAGGGGAAATTGGGATGTTGGCTCCTCAAACTACTGAGAATATTTTTTCTGGCTTGAAAAAGCAAAAGAGGTGGTTTTATGATGGTGCATGGGCATAGTTAGAGTGTTACAGTCATACTGTAGCCAGACAAAATAATGCTGAATGTGCAGCTCTTGTATCTTCACCAGAGTTTAGACACAAATAAAGTGTACAGCCAAGGACAGCTTCACATAGTGCTACTGTCACCAGCCATCCCATATTTGAGTCAAATCCCATGTGTGTCTCCCTAATATAATACTAATTATAATTAGGATATTTTACAACATATAACCTAATGAGAAACTTAATGGGCCTAGTTTGATATGATACCTCCATCTGCATTAGGGAAGTAATAACATACATCATGCATGTGTCTGCAGAGCAGATGATCTAGTAAGAGGATCCACAGGGGACCACGCAGTCAGATCAGAGAGTGGGTCCTGGACAAAGACCCAGTCCTTGGATCAATGATTACCCAGTTAGCTTAGATCACTGCCCAGCAGTCTGCTGAGGAGGGCACAGAGAGTGTCTGTGGCTGTGTCCACATGGGTTAACAATTCAAGAGGGAGGGCGTGCCGTGTCTGGTTACTGCACTGCATGTGAGGTTGTTGGCTAAATTACACGGTTGCTTCAACAATAATCTCACAACACGTTGTGTGAGGATATGTTGATGAGTTTTATTAGAGTGCACTTGCTGCACACATAAATATAATTTTATTTTTCATATCTAATGGGCCACTAAGACACTGATGCAAACAGTTTGAAGAAAGCAAACAATTCATTTTTGTAGGCTTGTTTGGCCCTAGCCTAAAAGATTATAACAATGCCTTGACCTACATTATTCTTCAAACAAAGCAAACAAGAAAACCTTCACAACATGCCTCAAGCCTGTATCTGATATGCACCACTCACTTTTTGGCAATATAATACTAAAAAGGGAACCAGGGAACCAGAGAACTACTCCACTATCTAGCCTGTGTTGCAGATGACCTAACCATCCCATCACTTAAGCTACTTTGAAAATTCAGCCCTGCCCTTTCTCTGCTCTCAACGGTGATTTACAATACATGACATCAGTCCATTTCCTGATGAACTGGATTATGACCATAGTATAGGGGCTTCTCCATGGTGTGACCAATAAAGTATCACATTAAAAATCCTGATGTTATTGTCTGGAAGCAAACAAATACTGACTCTTCACAATTAATGTTTAATTATAAACTAAATTTAGGGATATGTTTATATGTAGATATATGCAAGTATTTTGAGCAACACCTCACATACTGAAATACTGTTCAAAATATTTAATGTTCATTTTATGGTCTGCATCAATTGACCCATTTGTGTGATTCAGAAAGCTCTGTATGGGTGGCTTTGTAATTAGTAGAAGAACAGTAGTCATCAATCACAACAGTGGAGCCCCATAATGTTGTTTCACTGCTGTGCATCTGTCTTTATTAAGAGAATTCATAAGTATTAATCATGGTAGTGGTCCCTAATCAAGAATGGCAGCTGTGCATTCACCCAAGAGACTCATAACAAATTAGGGCTGATTGTGTACAAGGTCACATGTTCATCTGAAAGGCAGTCCTCTAAGCACTAAACTAAGCTCTAAGCTAAAATGTTAATCTGAACTGTGAATCCTTTATGAAATCCAAGCATCTGAGACACTATTTACAAGTTGATGTAAATAAAATATACTTACATTAAAATGATCCATTCACTCCAGTGTTATATGTCTCAGAATATTTCATTTTCATTTGCTGCAATTTCTACTAAGAAAATGTGACAAAAATCAGAATGCATTCACTGTCTAATGGCTTTCTAGTTTAATTGCTGACCGGGAAAGTCCCAAACTAAACTCTCTCTCTAAGCCTGTCCTGGTTACTGGCGGTTTTGGCCGTTTGAATCTTACGTGGACCACACTTACACTGAAGCACAGTTGAGCACAACGGCATGAGTAAAGGAATCCAGCCAGTCTTCAATCACCATTCAAAAGGGAGAGAAAGGGGAAAAAAAGATCCAGCTTTGTCTGAGCATCCTCCCAGCGCCAACATCCCAAACTGAAGGCTCCTCACACACAAATATACACGAGTATTCCCTCCAGCACATATTCAAACAGGTCCACTCATTCACACATGCTTACCTACAAACACACTTTCTAAGCACACTCACACATGCCCTGATAACTCATGCTTTTCCGTTGCCCACAGTCACAGGCAAACAATGTCCTCCTCACCCCTCACAGTGCGCCCCTCCCTCCCCTCTCCTCACTTCACTTCTCCTCCCACTAGCTCTGCTCCTGTCTCTTTCTTCTTTGTTGTGGGAGCTGCGATAGAGGAATGTCTTCCTTGTTAATGCCGCTGATGAGATAGTGCACCCAGATGAAACAATGTAGTCCAATGACTCAATTGAACTCCCACAGTTCCAAGCCAGAGCACTTTTCACACGGAGGTCAGGTTGTGCCAGTTCCATATAATGACAAGGTGATGGCATTCTCATTGCCGCCGCTGCTGCTGCTCAGGTTGGTCCTCTACCAGGCAGCTAGGCGGCAAAGTGCCCCCTTTACCTTCCCCAGGCTTTTCCTCTCACTCTCTCCCCCTTCTCATCCAACAAAGCCCCTCCTCTGGGTCTGACTGTGGCTCAGAAACTCCATGCTGCTTCTGCTTGAAAAATGGGGTGGGGGGCAACAAAAGGAGAGTTTTCTAAAGGCCGCCCTAGAAACATTCACATGTTAAGTGACAGCTGCCTCACTGCTGATTCCCTCTCGATGGTGAGGGAGAGAAGTGGAGGCTACAAAAGAAGGGACCCACACCCACCCTGCTACACACCCTCCCACACATTCACTCCCAACCCCCTTGCAGTCCCCTCTTCCCCATTCAGAGTCAGTGCAGCAGTCTCCACGGCAGCAACAAAGGCGACTAATTACAGTAAAACATCTTTGATTACTTGTCAACTCATTTCCAGCCATTGCAGCCCCAGCCCATAAACAAAGAACCTGGAAGAAACACAAGATAGAGAGTAACAGGATGACAATACTGAGTCTTTTCTCTGCTCCTGGCATTGGAAAGTGAAGGAGGAACCCCTATGGTGAAATTCTATCATGCACCATTTCAATAAGTCACAATATTTGACGTAGAAATGCAAAGCACCAATTATTCTGTATGCAAACATCATTACAGAGACATTTACTCAGATTTTTTGTTGTTTGAAGAAAACCATGTGAACAGTTTCTGTTTAATGCATTTCATATTTTAATAAGATCGAGTATTTATAAGTGTACGCTGGTTGTAACATGTTTGTGGAGGTGGACTTCATCCCAGCAGACACGTGCATACAGGTGATGTTTACCTGCCAAATCCTGTCTCTTTATTCCTTCCCTTCTGTCTAAATCCAGCTGACCACATAATCAGCCAATTGACTGATCCACCAAATGCACGCATGCACTTACAGTAAACACCCACACATTCTTTCCTACTCTCTTGCCAAAATAAATGCACATACATGCAGATTCTTGCACTTCAGCTTCTTCTGTGATCCATATGGTCACTGGGATTAGATAAATGAGAAAACACCAGCACTAACACAGACCTCATTTATTTTTTAACAAACAAACATAATGAATTTCACTGTAAGTTTTCCACACATTTTTTAAGCATTGATATTAAATTTCCTATTTGAGAAGGAACATCTATGCACGTTCCTGCTTGCATTCCAGTGTGCATGTCCTGTATATAACCTCATAAAATATCATATAATCGATACCACTCTCTCTAGTGTAAATGGCCTGCTGTGTTACATGTGAGTGGAAATGTCACTGAACCTGTCAATCCAAACGTAGTTAATTCAGCTTGCGATGTGTGCACCGTCCTGATTTATTCAGTTTGTGCCACAGGATGATGATTTAACTCTATT